TTGGTGGGTTCGAGCCCCGCATCAGGCTCTGTGCTGACTGCCAGCTCAGAGCCTGGAGCCTGTTTCAGTCTGTGACTCCCTCTCTCTCTGACCCTCCCCTGCTCACGCTGTCTCTCTCTCTCTCCTGGAAAGAAATAAAACATTAAAAAAAATTTTTTTTTAAAATGTAATTTGGGACAATAACAGTATAAGAGGACACAGCTATATAGGAACACAATTTTCTCACACAATTAAAATAAAATTGTATTAATTTGAACTAGATTGTTATAAATTAAGATGTTAAATGTAATCTTCAGGGCAACCTCAAAGAAATAACTAAAATATATACAGTAAGACAAATGAGGAGGGTGTCAAGATAGTATGTTAGGAAATATCTACTAAACACAAAGGGAGGCATTAATGGAGTAATTGAAACATAGAAAACAAATAGCAGAAGAGCAGAAGTTAAGTCCTTCCTTAAGGACATTACATTAAGTGTAAATGAATTGAACTTTCCAATTAAAAGTCAGAGATTACCAAAATATATTTTTTTGAAAACATGATACCACTATACACTGTCTACAAAAGAGTTACTTGAGATCCAAAGAAAAAAATAGCTTTAAAGTGAAAGGATGTAAAAAGATATTCCAAACAGTAGCCAAAAGAGAGCTTCGATGGTTATACTAATATCAAAAAGAGGCATCTCGGGGTACCTGGGTGGCTCAGTCAGTTAAGCGTCCAACTTCAGCTCAGGTCAAGATCTCGTGGTCCATTAGTTTGAGCCCCATGTCAATCTCTGTGCTGCCATCTCAGAACCTGGATCCCACTTCAGATTATATGTCTCCCTCTCTCTCTGCCCCTCCCCTGCTCCTGCTCTGTCTCTCTAGAAATGAATAAATGTTTAAAAGAGAGCGAGATCTTAGGGTACCTGGGTGGTTTAGTTGGTTAAGCACCTGACTCTTGATCTCAGCTCAGGTCTTGATCTCAGGGTCATGAGTTCAAGCCCCAAATTGGGCTCTTTGTTGGGCATTAAGCTTACTTTAAAAAGAGAGAGAGAGAGAGAGATCTCAGATCAATAACCTAATTTCCCACACTAGAGGACTAGAAAAACAAGACCAAACTAAACCCAAAGCTAGAGAAGGGAAGAAATAGTAAAGATTACAGAGAGAGAATCCCAAGCAGGTTCTGCACTGTCAGCACAGAGCCCTATGTGGGGCTCAAACTCATGAACCATGAGTTCATGATCTGAGCCAAAACCAAGAGTCAGATGCTCAACTGACTGGGCCACCCAAGTGCCCCACCCCTAGAAGTTTTATATTTTTTAAAATACTTATTTTGAGAGAGAGAGAGAGAGGAGTGGAGAAGAGCAGAAGGAGCGGGCAAGAGATAGAGACAGACAGAACCTTAAGCAGGTTTCATGCTCAACACGGTGCCCAACGAGGGGCTTGATCATACAACCCTAGGATCATGACCTAACCCAAAATCAAGAGTCAGACGCTCAACTGATTGAGGCACCCAGGCTCTCCTTAAAATATATTTTAGTCTTTTTAATTTTTTTAAATGTTTTATTTATTTCTGAGAGAAAGAAAGACAGCGTGAGCAGGGGAGGGTCAGAGAGAGAGGGAGATACAGAATCTGAAACAGGTTCCAGGCTCTGAGTTGGCAGTCAGCACAGAGCCCAATGCGGGGCTCGAACCCACGAACCGTGAGTTCATGACCTGAGCTGAAGTCAGATGCTTCCCCGACTGAGCCACCCAGTTGCCCCTATTTTAATCTTTTTTAAAAAGTCTGTGTCCTCTGATCCCACAACTGCACTTTCAGGAACGTATCCCAAAAAAACATTTTGACAGGCAAAGATAAGTTTTCAAAAATGTTCATGAAGCAATGTTTATAGCAATGACAAATTACACCCTGAACATCCCAAATAGGGGCTTGAGCAAAGGTTCATGTGTATTGGAATACCAGTTATTGAAAATAATGATGTAGCTATTGATACTGGAGAGCATTCCCAATATATTGGTAAATGAGGAAAACAAATTACAAAACAGTCTCGAGTGGGGGGCAGGGGGGTTGCATATATTTTCATGGAGGAAAGTGCTGAAAGATACATACCAAAATATAAAAAGCACTAGATGTTGGAATCTGGGGTAATTTAAATTTTTTTCTAATTTTTCTACAATAAACACACATGGTACTATCTGTACAAGTTTTAGAATATTGGTTAAAAAAGAAAACTCAGTGTCTCCCCTATTTACTAGTAAAGTCCTATCTGTACAATTATGAGTTCTCAGCTGGGACTAAAAAGTCTCCACATCCAGTGTGATGAATTTCTCAAACGTGTATTACGAATAGGCAAAAAAAGTCAAAATACAACCAATCTTCTCTTTCTCAACCTATTTTTTTAAAGTAGTTTCAATCAACACCGAAAGACCCCCAAACAATCCACTTAAAAATGGGCAGAGGAACTGAATAGACCTTTGTAACAAAGACGACATACAGATGGCCAACAGACCCATGAAAAGAGCTCAACATCACTCATCATCAGGGTTGCATCAGATGCAAATCAAAACCACAACAAGATAGCACCTTACACCTATAAGAATGCCTAAAATCAAAAAGACAAGAAATGTTGGAGAGGATGTGGAGAAAAAAGAACCCTCGTGCACTATTGGTGGGAATGTAAATTGGTACAGCCACAATGGAAAACAGTATGGAAGTTCCTCAAAAAATTAAAAATAGAAAAAAAATAAAAACAGAAATATCGGGGCGCCTCAGTGGGTCAGTCGGTTAAGCATCTGACTTCGGCTCAGGTCATGATCTTGCAGTTTGTGAGTTCCGGCCCTGCATCGGGCTCTGTACTGACAGCTCAAAGCCCGGAGCCTGATTTGGATTCTGTGTCTCCCCCTCTCTCTGCCCCTCCCCTGCTCATGCTCTGTCTCTGTTTCTCAATAATAAATAAATGTTTAAATTTTTTTAATTAAAAAAATAGAGAAATACCATATGATTCAATGACTCCACTACTGGGTATTTACTTAAAGAAAATGAAAACACTGATTTGAAAAGATATATGTACCCCTGTTTATTGCAACATTATTTACAATAGCCAAGATATGGAAGCAACCTAAGTGTTCACTGAAGGACAATTAGATAAGGAAGATGTGGTATGTACACACACACACACACACACACACACACACACACACACACACACCAGAATATTATGCAGCCATAAAAAAGGAGATCTTGCCATTTGCAATAACATGGATGGACCTCGAGGATATCACACTAAGTGGAATAAATCAAACGGAGAAAGACAGATACCATATCATTTCACGCATACGTGGAATCTAAAACAAAAGACAACAAATGAATAAACAAACAAAAAGCAGAGTCAGACCTATAAATACAGAAGACAAACCGATGGCTGTCAGCGGGAACGGGGGTGGGAGGGTGGCAAAAAGCAGGGAGATACAGGCTTCCAGTAATGGAATGAATAAGTCATAGGAATAAAAGGCGCGGCGTAGGGAACAGTGACAGTGTAATCGCATTGTATGGTGACACTTTTGGTGAGCACAGCACAACTTACAGAGAAATCGATTCACTATGTTGTACACCTGAAACTAACGCGACATGTCAACTACGCTCAAGTTAAAAAATAAAATAAAATAAAATAGAGAAATACAGTAGTTTCTATAAGGAAGCGGGCGCCCTGATAGGGCGGAGCAGCTCAGATGAAGAGAAAGCATAGAAGCCGCCCTTTCCCTTTCTGCGGGACGCTGGAGTCGAGGAGTTCAAATCCCGATCAACCCCTTCCACACGCACTGACCACACGATTGTGAGCAAATTCCTTCTCTTTCCGTTTCCCCACCTGGGAAATAAGGGAATCCTCACTGTAGCTAGAGCAGCTATAAGTAGAAAGCTCTTAAACAGCGGCGATTATAAGAGCACAGAACGGACCCCGGGAAGATCAGAGGACCAGAGAATCGGCGTCTGTGTTGTAATTTTTTAGAAACAAGCCTCATGCCCCGCCTCCATCGCACGCAGGGAACCCGGCAAGCCCGCGGCTGAGCGACGGGACGCCCAGACCCGGGGTAGGAGCGGCCCCAGGGCGCTCAGCCGCCGGCACCCAGGCGGGGGTGCGGGGGTGCGGGGGGCCGGCGCTCTCCTGCTGCCCAGCTGCGCACGGCCCACAGGGCCTTCGGGAGTCCGGCAGGACGCGCCGCCGCCGCCCGTCGGAGGCCGGCCAGAACGTTTTCCCCGGGGAGGCAGCGGAGGGAAAAGATCCGGACATTGGCATTCGGTGCGTCTTCCCGACAAAGGCTGAGTCTCCCCGCCGCACGCGAGCCGTGGAAAACCGGGGCAAGTGGGAGGGGAGGCGGGAGCTGGGCGGGAGGAACCGACGGGAGGGGCCGCGCGGAGCGGAGGCCTTAGGCGGGGAGGCGAGCGAGCGGCGGGCCGGGCCGGACGAGCGTCCTTCTCCCTAGAGGGCTCCGCTTTCCGTTCCGATCTTTACAGGGCGGAGAGAAAGGGCGCTTCGGGAGGTTCTCAGGACGCGGGGAGGCCCCGAGGACGCGGGGAGGCCCCCCGACGGCGCGGGATCCTTCTGCGGGATCCACCCCCAACCCCCGCCTCTTGCGCGTCCGCGCCCCTGGGAGGAGAGACAACCCCCTGCCGCCGTCGCCCCACGGAGGTCGCGCGCTCCCACCAGCGGCCCGGAGGGACGGCGCGACACCCCACGACTGCCAGGGCGCTCCTGCCTTTCTTCTGAGGCGACGCGCGTCTCGCACGGCGCACCCGCCCTTTACCTCAGCGAGGCCCCGCGCTCCAGCCTCGGCCCGCTCTGTGCCCGCGAACGCCAGCGGGGCTCGAGCGCCCCAATGGAGGGGGCGGGGCTCAGCCAGCCGAGGACGGAAAAGGCGGGAAAGGCCCTGATTGGCTGAGAGTTTGCAAGCCGCCAGTTCCCCCTGCCGTCTCTCCTGGGCTCTGACAGCATCCCTCCCCACCGGCTTCCCCTCGAGCACCTGTCGCCAAAAGGAATGAAGACCCCTTGGCGGTTCTCGGTGTGGCTCTGATTCACCGCCATCTTGCCCCAGGCCCCCTCCTGCCGCCCCTCAGATGGAAAGGGGCGGGGCCTGCGCCAAACCGGGTGGGCGGGGCTTTGAAGGGGAGGGCAGAGATTATGGCGCAAAGACAAAGACCGCCGTGAGTGGGGCTGGTCACGTGAGGGGCGGTAGTCCGAGAACCCGCAAGTGTCGGTGCCAGCTGTTGGGACTCCAGCTGGTGGGGGTGGGAGCGGCCCGGGGAATGGACCCCGCCCCAGAGTGCGAGGGTGTGGAGTGGTAGGTGAGTGGGCACCTGGATCTACACCTGCCCTCCTGGCCCCAGCGTGGTAGCTGGTTGCTCGGCCGCCCTCGGGAATGGACTGAATGGGTCAGAAATCAGAAGCAAGATTTTCCTGCGTGCACCCCTGGCCTGCATCAGGAAGCTAACAATGCCCTTTGGAGAAAGGATCCAGAAAGATTTCTGGCTTCTCCCAAGGGCGAACTTAACAACTTTTCTCCCCCAGAGAAAGTCTGGAATGCAAGTCAGTTTCTTGTGAGGCAGCATCCAGGAAAGGGTGAATGATCTGGGTCAGGGGGAGTCTGTGCCGGTTCCAAGATCGAGAGAGCCTGCGGCGTCCATCGTACCTGCCCTCCCTTCTCCAAAGGGTGATTGTGAGGATCCGGTGGGATACATTATACTGTAATTGCTTTGAAGACTAAAATGTACATCTTTTTGTTTCCTTTAAACTTCACAAAATAACACCGAAGGGCTTCAAGCAAAGGGATGGTGACATCTTCTGGATTACCATATTTCATCAAGTTTAAGATGCTGTCAGTTATAAGATGAGCCATTTTTAAATGTACCACTGAGGGAAAGAAGTTGCCAAATAAAGACATATCATCATTCATAAGCTGATTTTTTAAAAGCAATCTCTACACTCAACATGGGGCTTGAACTCATACCCTGGGGATAGAAAGTTGCATGCTCTACCTCCTGAGCCAGCTAGGTGCCCCAGGCTGATTTTTGTTTATTTATTTTTTATCTTAAAAAGTTTTTTAAGGTTTATTCATTTTTCAGAGACAGAGAGAAACAGCGTGTGAATGGGGAAGGGCAAAGAGAGAGGGAGACACAGAATCTGAAGCAGGCTCCAGGCTCTGAGCTGTCAGCACAGAGCCCGAGGCGGGGCTCGAACCCAAGAACTGCCAGATCATGACCTGAGCCGAGGCTGCTCAACCAACTGAGCCACCCAGGTGCAACCCCCTGATTTTTTTTTAACATAAGACTACTGGAACAGATTAAATGCAATAGGAATGATGTGAAGCCATAGAAGGACCACTGAGATAGAGCCCCCATCTTCCATTGGTAATTACGTGTGCAACTTTGGACATCAGCCATGCTCTCCGGACTTCTGTTTCCATATGTGTATGAAAGAATTGGACTAAAAGAACTGTTTTCTCTTAGCTGTGATGTTTTAAGTTTTCAAAACTACTCTATTGCTCAAAACTTCCCACATCTGCCCATCTTGATGTGGCATTGCCACTCTGGCTCTGGTCCTCATCATTTTACCTGAATGACACCTCCCTCCCCCATTCTTCTATACCTTGCATTCACCCTACAGAATACTGAGGCCCCAAATACAATTGCATATGGTCATCACATTCAAATTCAGAAAAATAGAGAACGTTCTGTTGGCTACAGAAGAGAGTAGGAACCTCAAAGAGAGGAAGTTTGGTTTAAATTTGAAAAAGACAAGAGAGAAGCTAGTGCTTTAAATTTAAATTCTTAACTCTCAAAGCATTCACTGTAAAGTAGGCAAGTCTCTAGGCAAAGTAGGTCCATGCCTTCCATAGAGTTGGGTTTCGTGCCTCCTGGAGAAATGAGGGAAAAGCTAGGAAATTCATTAAATGAAAATAAACCCTGTTTACATTGAAGGAGACAGACTACGCAGAGCACAGCATCCCTCGGGTCTAGCATGCCAGCTCCCTCACTCGTGTTGGATACAAAACTCCATGGAGGGGCACCTGGGTGGCTCAGTTGGTTGAGCTTCCAACTCTTGGTTTCAGCTCAGGTCATGATCTTGCAGTTTGTGAGATTAAGCCCCACATTGGGCTCCACGCGGAATGTGCTGAGCCTGTTTGGGATTCTCTCTCTCTCCCTCTCTTTCAGTCCATCCCCTGCTCTCTCTCGAAATAAACATTAAACGCACACATGGAAGAATGACCCAAGTCTGTCCTCAAGCCAACTGAAGACAAACTGGACTCACAAAACGTTTTCCATCTATAATTTCTGTGGCTACTTCTTACCAAGATGATCCCTGTCTCACTCTCCACCCGTGGGTGAGATGATTTAATGGCTAATTTGGCCAAGGAGTGAGCACAAATGAGACACAGGCCAGGCAGTTATTGTTCAAACAGCAATGTTTAGTTGTACAACACAAAGTCTAGCAACATTTACACAACCAGTTTGAGTGTCTGTTGGCTTATTTTCAATTGGGGGAATTTAACCATAATGTCGCCAAAAGGCTGGCTGGGACTGGTAACATTTAAGGAATGGGTCGTTCTTGCATCCCCTAGGCTTGGGCCTTTTGCTCCATCAGGACTTAGTTGTAGATGAATGGCCCACAGGTCACCAGCCTTTGAGAAAGTAGTGTCCAGGTGGAGATGGTAGGGGTGGGTGGCCGGGGGGAGGGAGATCCCATAAAGACACAGTATGTGGGGCAGTGGCGGCCAACATTCGCAAACATTCATGCATCTGATGGGGGGCTTTGCCCCCCAGTGGGCATTTTCCACTAGCCTACAGTGACCAACTGTGGCCAGGCTAATTCATTACTCACATTAACAGGGTGGAGGCGGGGGTAGGAGTAGTCAGGGTAGATGGGAAAGAGATTCCTCTTATTGCTAGGTGGACAGAAGGGTGCTTTTTTTTTTTCCCCTCCCTAGAATTCCCATCCCATGGGGTTCTGGAGTTTTGTGTCTGTTAAGTTCTTTTTAAGTTTGAGGATAAGGAAGTCAATTCCAGAAAAGTCTCTTCAGGAAAACTACTCTTCCTAAGTGGCTGTGTTATGGGGGTAAGGGTGTGTGTGTGTGTGCCTGAAACTGCACTCTGGGCCAGCCACAAGTGGTGATTTTTTTTAAGCGACCCTAGCCCTTGCTCCCCCACATCTATAGTGACCCATCATTATAAATAAGCGTTAAGCAATGAAGGAGACACCCTTGCCCCACACTGGGGCTCACACAGCTGACGTCAACAAACCTGACAAGCAGAAAAGTCGCTTCCTTGACCCTTGAAGGAAGCCAAGAGGAGCTCATGCAGATGAATGGGCAGGGAGCAAAGCCATTGCCCTTGGAGATGGCTGCAAGTAGCTGGTACGGGTTTGCAAGGGCAGAAGGAGCTCCTGATGAGTTCTTTCACCCTACGGATGGGCTGGGACCGGACGATGGAGGAGGGCAGTGCTGGCGAGAGCTCCATTCCACTGGGAGGAGAGGGGTGGTTTGGACAAACGGAGGAAGCAACTGCCCTAAAGAGGCAGCTTGGCCCCTCCAACCTGCTGAGAGCTGAGGGGGGGCTGTGGTGGTGGGCTGGGCAAGCATGGCACTAAAAAGGCCACGGCCCTGCAGCAATAACAGCTGGGAGGGATGGAGGGAGAAGCAGCACTTGAAATGGCCTTCATTCAGCAGTGGGGCAGGGGGTGGCCGGCACGGGTGGAAGGACAGTGCCCAGGAGGCCTTCTCCCTGCGGGGGGGGGGGGGGTTGAGAACGGTTGAGGGTGTGGAGACCAGCAGCTGGCAGTAGACACATGAGACAACTTCTCCAGGGAGGCCAAGATCATGGCTTAGGGGCGCCAAGTATCATTCTCTACTCAACCTCTCCAGCACCCACCACCCCCGCCAGACCTCTCCCTGCTAATCCTAGGTGGCCAGTCCCACGTCTGCCTTCGCGACTGCCCCCTGTATACACCAGGGATCCCCCTTCAGTTGACATGGGGCAACCTGTGGGCTTTAACCCTGTTGCTGTACTATGCTGACAGGTGCTTACCCTGGAATAATTTTGTGGGTGGGGGAGGATGCATATGGGATTGATTGGTAAAGAGCCTCCAAGAAAGATCGAGACCATAGGTCTTAGGTCACTGGTTTGGGGTCACCCACCTCTTTCTCCTGGTCCACCGAATCTTGGTCTGTGTTTTCCTAGCACCTGAGTGACAAGAGACTATAAATGCTGGGATTTGTAGTGGACCAGTAAACACCTAGGGCTGGACCAGGAGATGGGACAGGAGGCTGTGTGAGGTTATTGTAAACTCAGTTGGTGTTTTCCCTTACCTAAGGCTACATTGTCTCCCCAGCCCCAAGTTTCAGCCACCTTCGAGACTAAACGAGAAAGAGTAAACAGGGGAAATATATGCATTGATAAATACAGGACTGAGGGGAAGGCCAGAAAAGGCTAACTGTCTGTGGGTATGGTTAGGAATGTCTCCAGGGGTCAGGAAGGGGAATCAGGGAAAAGCAGACAGACCGACAGACATGCACAGTGAGAGAGAACAGAAGAGAAGTCAAGAAGGAGTCAAGCATATATGGGAAGTGAGCGGTAGAGAAGCCAGCTTTAAGGAGGAAGAATCCTGATGGAGGAAAGTGAGGCATCGTTTAAAATTGGTCTCTGAAGCCAAACCACTGAGAAAGGCAAAGATTATGTATTGCTCTTAAAACTTGTTGAGACTCAATTCTTCTAGAACTTAATGCCTAAGGAAAGGTGGTGTCACTTGACCAACGTATGTGCTTCTTGAGCCAGATACTGGGAACTGTGTACCTCGTTCTGTTTCCTCCTCTGCCTGGGCCCACACACATTCATTGTGCGCGGCAGAAACTTTCTTTCCCACTCCTCCCTGTGGATCTGATTTCTCTCGTAATCTCGCTTTGTACCATCACGTGCCTTGCCTGTGATTTTATTTCACGGTGGCCTAAAGTCATTTTTGGAAGTAGATTGGGCATAGATCCTAAATATAGAAATGTAGCTAAAGTGGATTAGACTCAAAGCAAGTGAAAGAAGTCAGAGAGGGGCAGGATGAAGGAATGAGGGCAGGGGGAGACGGGGAGAAAGTGGGAACAGAGGTGAGTGAGGCGAGGCGCGTATGCAAAGCAGCAGTCTGCAACCACAACAGACAGTAACAGGTGGTGGGCTTTGGACAGACCGAAGGGTAGAGCTCTCTTCTCCGCTTCTGGGCACTAAATCTTTCTGCAGGAAGCCCGCTCCTGTCTACCCTGCTCTACCTTGACCTTCCCTCTCCTAGACAGTCCTAGGCTTACCCTAAACTGCCACCCCCACCCCCCACCCACGCCAGGTCCAGCTCCAAAGCTGTCCTCAGAGAGTCTCTGCGGTCCCAGTTTGTGGGCGGGTTCAGAGATAAGAAAGAGTTACCTGTGGCTCACCTGCTCCCCATCATTTTTAAATGAAACCTCCCCTAGACCTCTTGAGTGAGGCACACAGCTTTGTTCTGGGACACAAGGAAAGGAGACAGATAATGGACAGCCATGGAGGAACCAAACTTACAAGGGACTTTCCAGGGAGGGCAGTGAAAATACCTCACCCCTGCACATGTATACGCGCACACACACACATAAATACAGTCTCTCTCTCCCTCTCATACACACACACACACACGCATGCGCGCGCGCGCGCACACACACACACACACACACACACACTGTAGACAAACTCCACAAACACCAGACAGGCCTGGGGGACAGAGTAGAAAGGAAGAAAGTGGTTGGTAGTATTGGGATGTGTGTGGGGAAGTGGGTATGTGTGATGATATAGAGAAAGGGTCGTCATGGGTTACTGTCGTGGCTTTCCTCTGTGTCCACGCTCACCGGAGGGAGGCCTCCGTTGTCATTGAGCCGCTTGGCCCTGTAGGTCTCATAGTGGATGTTGTGTGTCACTTCCTTGAGGTCCTGGAGGTGGGTCCTGAAGGACAAAGGGTGAGAAGGGAGAGGGATGTGATTAAGGGTTGGAAGAGGAAGAGACTGACCCACGTCTGAGGTTAACACATCACTTCCAAGGTCTGGTCCCGTGACTGAGACCCATGCCAGAGAGCTAACGACACTTCTTCAGCCCCTTCTGCTTTATGACCAGAGCTGCAATGGGGGCAGAGAGCTCTGTCAGAAAGACCTGGAGACTGAGGAAGTAGGTCTGAACAGATGGCCTCCTGACCCCAAATAAATAAACCTGCCATCTGAGGGCAGGGGTGCATCTCACCTGATGACAAAGTCTCGAAGCAGGGCGAACTCACAGTGGTTGAGGTTTTCCACTGTGAACAAAACAAAACAGGTGGTCATTTCACTGTTTCAGTGTAGCCACACCCAGCAGATGAATTTCTGGTCAGGTCGTGGAGGCATTTAGGAGGGAGCCACAGGACAGGTACTCTGTTGGAAGCCTTCCAGGGGCTTGCTCATCCTGGCACTTCTGTGCGTGGGATTTTATGCATTGAGCAAACTTTTTAAAAAATTTTTTCTAAGTAGGCTTCATGCCCAGCATGGAGCCCAATGTGGGGCTTGAACTCACGACCCTGAGATCAAAACCCAAGCTGAAATCAAGAGTCAGACGCTTAACCCATTGAGCCACCTAGGTGCCCCTAAACAAATATTTATTGAGCAGCTACACTGGCATGATGCTATTCTATACTCTGTGAAATAACAACTAATAGGGACAATTGTATTTCCCATTTTATAGGAAAGGAAATTAATACACAGGGCCTCTAAAAATCTGCCCAAGACCCAAGACCCAATTCCTATCCTCAAGGAGCTTAGAATCTGATTGGAAGACAGTAACACACACAGCAAATAACTATTAAGCCATCTTAAAAAGGTCATGCACTACATGATGAATCTAATTCAATACAGATTGAGTGGACCTACTATGTGCAAATCACTTGCCAAGGTCTATGAGAGCAGAAGGAAATTACGACATGAACCCTCTTGTCCCACAATCTGATGGACAAGACAGACATTCTCATAAAAGATTCCAATTCAAGGCAGTGAGAAAATGATATTTTTAAAAAAATCCCAACACGGGGCTATAAGCAAATGAGAGACAATGTGGTACAATGAGATGAACTTGGTTTGGAAGCTGACATCAATTCAGTTGTGTAATTGAAATCTGGGTCTGAAGTCCCAGTTTCACCACGAACAAGTCATGTGATCTTGGCCAAGACCCTTAAACCTGTCTGAGACTCAAAGCCCTCAGGGGCTCATGTTCTGAGAACAGTCACGTCTACCCTGCTCCCTGCAGAAGTTTATCACATTGAGAGAGATCACTGAGGGGCGCCTGGGTGGCTCAGTCGGTTCAGCATCCGACTTCGGCTCAGGTCATGATCTCATGGTTCGTGGATTCGAGCCCCGCATTGGGTTCTGTGCTGACAGCCAGCTCAGAGCCTGGAGCCTGTTTCAGATTCTGTATCTCCCTCTCTCTCTGACCCTCCCCTGCTCACTCTGTCTCTCTCTCTCAGAAATAAATAAAACATTTTAAAAAGTTAAAAAAAAGAAAGAAATCATTGAAGCAATTCTTTGAAAACTCTCAGAATCGCTATTGACCTTCTAGAGCTCCCATCCATTCATAACAAAATGAAAACGGCCACATTCGAACCACTGTTCAACAGTCAGTAGGCTCATGTCCCCTTTCACGTGAAAACCTTTCTCTGGTTTTCTCAGTGCTCATTAATCTCTCCCATGTTCTCAACTCTTTGACACACGAGTCAAAGTCAGTGCCTCCTAATTAAGCGCTAACTCGGCCTTTTATCACTTCCTGCTTCTGAAATTCATCTTCTCAATTAGACGGTAAGCTCCTTACGGCAGGGTGTGGCTGGCATTCAGTTTATATCTTACGTGCCAGGACAGTGCCCTGAACTATAGATGCTTAACAAATAAGTGTAACAGACCAGCAGCCAGTTTTTCAAGAAATGCACTGAATTACCTTCGATGATCCCCCAGGGAGTTTTTCTGCCGAGGACCCGCTTGCCATTCACTTGGTACTCCTTGTCGCTACCCACCACAGCGAAAGGCATGCTCTCCTGCTGACAAACCACACACACGTGCATGTCAGTCTCCTGTACCGTCAGGGCCTCCAGGGACAGGATGGCATACGGTCCTGGGCCTCCAGCGTTGAACTGCGCATTTCTGATGTTCATTCAGTGACCCCACTGATGGCAAGGGGCAAGGGCAAGGCTCTTGTCTCCTGAAAAGAAGTCTGAAGTCCTGGGTGGGAACCCCTGCCTGGCTGGTTCACCTTAATAAGTCGGCCTTCCTTCAACAGGAGAACACTTTGTACTTTTTATTGCTTTAATGCGTTTGCTTTGGTTTGGAACAACTCTGTGGGCTAAGCTAGGATAGAAAGACCTCTCTTGAGTGATACCCACCCATCTGACCACCACATAACTGATGCTTTACACTACCTCGCATGAAACTTACTGGCAGAGGCCCACGTCCGCCGACCTCTCAGAGCTCCAAGACCACTGTCTGATGTTCGTGGGCTCCTCTGCTCCCCCAGATGGGCTGGACGTTCACCAAGGGACAGCCTTTTGTTCCCAAATCTGTTTGCCTGCTGTGTACTTGCTATTGGATAAATTAACTATTATGGAAGCTGAGGACGTATGACTGTGGAGAGTTGTTTCTCTGAAACTTGCGTGTTTCAGAAACACCTGATAAAGGTCAGCTGCGCTTGAGACTGGACTTATTCTCAAAAAGAGAAGCCTTGTCTCCATATGAAAAGAATGTTTAATAAATGGGATTTATTTTCACTTAATCATTTAGTGAATTATTTCCTTAAAAACATTGAAGATTTGTATGCAGCGGTTTTTAAACGATTTCTTCACTTTGATGGACTTTTCCAATGATTAACTGCCTGTCTCAACGACATCAGATAAGGGGCTTCTGATACATTATCCACACTTAACACAGGAGGAGACTCCAGACCGAAGCAAGTAAATGACGTGTCTCAGGTCACAGTGGTTCGTAGAAAAGCCCAGACGAGAACTCAGGATTGTGATGTAAGATCCCAGAATTGTAGAAATTTCAAATTGGAAGGGATAGTGGAAATCACATGAAGCCTTAAGATGGCCAGGAGACACCCCACGGATTGCTGAGAAGACAGTGCTCTGTACATGTCTCACTGTGGCAGAACAGCTCTGTTTTTGTGATTTATATACAGAAGGTCTATCTGATGTTTAATTTTTTAAAAGGGTTCCTCTAAGGGAAAGAAAGCCTCTAAGCCACTCACATAGCCCAACCTCTGTGCCATAGAGAGGGGACACTGAGGCAGAGCTCTGACTAGAGCATAGATACCTAGGACCCCAGCCTGATGCTCTTCCTGCCCATGCCCTTCCATCAACCACACCCCAGTTTTCCCTGGCCCTGTGGGAGAAGAAGCAGCTTTTGGGTGGCCTGGGGACAGACGTGAACTTTGGCTTTCTGGGTGCACAGTTCACAGTCCCAGGAAGGGCCCCGGTCCTCATCCTCTCCCATGTCACTTCTAGTCTGGGTCAGGAGAGGTGGAACAGAAAGTATGAAAGGGGAAAGGCAGGTGGAAAGACAGGAGGGGTCCACGATCCACATCCCACTGGTAACAAGGGGAGCATTGTGTGATGAACAGAGCCCCGGGCACCCACCCGGATCTTGTCATTCTCCGTCTTGTCCTCCAAATCCTCATCAAATTCCTTCTGTGGATAGAACTCAATGCCATTTACTTCAAGCTCCTTTCGAACCTAAGGGCAAGGAAGAGAAGCAAGGTAGCCAAGTCGAGGGGGAGGATACGCACACACAAGTGCGTGCGTGTGTGTGTGTGTGTGTGTGTGTGTGTGTGTGTGTGTGTGTGAAGTAAGAGGGGTGAATACAGCCTTTGATAATCTAGTCATCTCTGAACTCCGAGGCCCTGAGCAGCAGGAAGATCCTAATAAATGCGAACCCGAGTCATACAGCCTCTACAGCCCACGCTGAGCTGGGGGAGAGTCTGGGGGTGTAGCTTGCTCATTGCAGGGTCCATAAGATTAGGATTTAGACAAGCCGAGTACAGATTCCACATGGGCAGTGCTCATGCTGCTACGTGTCATGTTCCTGTTTGCAGGGAAGAGAGGTGAGGCTCCCCACCCGAAGCCTGTAGGTCTGCCCTCTCCCAAAGCTCGACTTATGTCGCACCTCCTCCAGGAAGTCACCTAGGACCTCTTCAGCGGTCTACCCGATTGTAAGCTTCTTGAAGGGAGTAATGTCTTTATACTTCACCCGCATGCCCCCACCTCCATCCCCATGCATCCAGCACAGGGAGGAGCTTATAGTAAACACCGAGGGAAGTCAATTAATTAGTCCAGCCCTTCAAGCAAGCTAACGTTGAGGAGTGGTTTCTCATATGTACGGTGACTTATGTATTCAGCGGTGTCTGCCAGTAAGTTTGGTGGCTGGGAAGAAAGCAGCCTGAGGCTGTGAACTTGTCTTTGTCCACAGACACCATCAGCCCAGCTTCTTTAATGGCTAAGTAGGATCTGGGGGGGATGTGGGGGGCGTATATAATACTCAAGGATAGGACATGGCTTGGACCAGAGGAAGGAAGGAGGGGAGCAGACAGGAAAAGGAGGAGGGGCCTTCTCACCCTTTGCTTGAATTCAGACTTCTCCTCCAGGGTCATGGTGTCAGCCTTAGCAATGACAGGGATGATGTTCACAACTTTGCTGAGGTGTTTCATGAACTCCAGATCGAGAGGTCGCAAGCTGGGGCCCAGAGAAGGTGGGGTGTCAGAGCCACCTTGCCCTCCCCCATTCAGCCACGGCCACCACTCCAGGGCCGCCCTGGGGCAGAGGGACTGGGCCGGGAACCTGGCTGAGGCCAAGGGGCTTCTCCATCTCCTGACAGCCTGCCGAACAGGCTCCAAGTCTCTGCCCCCACTTGGACCACCATCTCCCTTTCTCTTCAAATCCCGCGCCTCCAGCAGCCCTACTCACACTGCTCCTTCAAAACAGCTTTCCTGGCATGGGGATCCTTTTCCTCCTGGGAACAGCATGGACTGTCGTCTCTGCCTATGTGTCCTTGGGTCATGGTTACTTGCCTATCTTATTCTGCTAATGGGACAGCACTTTTTTTTTCTTTTTTAAGTAATCTTCATGCCCACAGGAGCTTGGGTGGCTCAGTTGGTTAAGCATCCAACTTCGGTCAGGTCATGATCTCACGGCGCATGAGTTCGAGCCACGTGTCGGGCTCTGTGCTGACAGCTCAGAGCCTGGAGCCTGCTTTATTTTCTATGTGTTCCTCTCTCTCTCTGCCCTTCTTCGTCACACAATCTGTGTGTGTCTCTCTCTCAAAAATAAATAAACATTAAAAGTTTTTAGGGAAAAAAAGTAATCTCCATGCCCAGTGTGGGGCTGGAACTCACAGTCCTGAGGTCAACACCCTCCACCCAGGGCTCCAGGTGCCCCCAGGACAGCACCCTTTGATGGGCCTTCTCCCAGCCTGCACTCAGCCCCTTAGGGGCCCGGCTGGGGGCCTTGGCCCTCCCCATCTGAGGGCCCAGCTCCCTCAAGGCTCTGGCGCCCCAGTCTGGCTCTGGTTCACATTCGGGGAGACTTACTAAGTCAGGCTATCTGCCTGCTTGCTCTGACCTTGGATCCACATTTCAGGGAAGGATAAAGCAAACCTTTTTATTGAGTCCCTGGGCCCCACCCTCAAACACCTGCTGAGTACCTGCTTCCTCCAAACTGGGGGGTCTGCTTGCCCGTGTCATCCTCTGAAGAACTGAACTCTGGCCCAGCCGACGGGCTCAGCACTAAGCTATGGAAGGCCTGCCTGCGTGCGCACTTCGATCTCTCTATCCCAGGCCCCTACTCCCTATCATGCAGTCCCATCTGCCACTCACAACCGGACTTCCCAGCATGCTCTGCTTGTTGCCAGCCTTCATCCCTAGACACGCTGGCTGGCCACCCAGCCTACAGTGAGGTCCCATACGTACCCCAAACACCCTCCCTAATTCAATAACCCTGCCCACCCCCATTTTACTCTTCTTGTTGCCCATCCCCGACCCCACCCCGAGCCTTGTGCAAAGCAGAGATCTGCTGAATAAGCGAGGAGCCCTCTGTGCTCACATATCAGCTCCTGTCTGCTGGCCCAGTTGGGCTAGAACACCAGTGCGCAGCATGGGGGGCTGATGTTGGTCAGCTTTACCCTCCTGGTAAGAAAGTCAGCCTTTCTTTGGGCAAGTCTGGGGGATCACAGGGCCATGAATACATTGGGGCTCATCCGGGGCCCCAGCTGCATCCAGGGATTCGTTATCCCCTATCGAATGACGCAAACTGGAGCTAGGTGTGGCCACAGGGGGCGGGACTGGTACATACGAGTGTCCTGTGGGGGAGATGAAGTAGAGGCAGCAGTGGACACGGGTGTCGGGGATGCGTTTCTTCCTGGCAATGTTGACCTCCTCCTTCAGGAACTTCTCATACTGTTCATTGATGTACTTCTCGATGGGCTCCCAGCTGGGGCATGGGAAGAAAGCAGATGGATGTCCCAGAGAAACAGGACCTGGGGGCTCACCTTAGGCATGGTCAGGCGGCAGGGCCCTCACATCCCTCTCGCTTCTACCTCCCCCGGTGGGGCTGGGGTAGGTTGACCACTCTCCCTCAGACCTCCATGGATGGCTTTCCTCATCAGCAAGGCTAGAACTCCCGTGGGGACCCACTCCTCTGACTGGGCCAGAGGACCCTGCACAACCCCACCCCACTCCAGAAAGCAACGCCCACTTTCCCCACATCCATTCCTTATTAGCTGGGAGGCTCTGAGGAAGGTCTCTACCCCTCCCTGAGGCTGTTTTTTCACAAGCAAAATGGGAGTACCCACGGCTGCCTAGCAGAGGTTTGGTACTTAATGTAGCAATGGCATACCGAAAGTACTCAACACAGCAACAAGTCATTATCTTGACTGTCGCCGATGCAATGATCACCCTTCTCCTTCAAGGAGCATTCAAATAACCAGAGAAGAGGCCAACCGGTTACTTTTCCAAGATGGTTCTAAGTTGTGTTGGCCAACCCCAGCTCCCTCACAGAGGAGCAATGGCCTCCATCCCTATCTGGGGGCAAACTTGTGCCTGGAACTTTCCATCTACATTCTGCACGGCATATGCTACCCCTCCTGGGCTGCATGCTCACTGCAGCTTTGCTCGGTGAATTCCCAGAGGCTCTCTCCTCGTGGAAATCACCCGCCCTCCTCTCTTCTTCCTGGGCTAAGATGTTGCCCACAGGCCAAGCTCTGCCACAGCCTTCAGATCAGCGTATCACAGCTCCCCTTGCTCTGTCCACCCTGCCCTTCGGCCACCTGTAGGTAATCCCACAGCCAAAATCCCTTCTGCACTGGCCCCCACCCAGGCCTCTTCCCTCGCCTCTTTATAAAGCCCCTCTGCCATCCGTTAGTAAGTCTTCCCACTTAGTCCCTTGGCATGAAGGGTGCAGAAGGCTCTCGATGTGAACGAATCTGCACCGTGTTCAGCGTCTTCCTTGCAGTCTTTAAGGCAGAAATCTCACAGGCAGACATATACCAGTTTTCATTGTTGATCTGGTCTCCAAAGCCCGGGGTGTCAATGACCGTCAGCTTCATTTTGACCCCGCCTTCCTCTATCACTGGGGGGTGAACAGAGAAGGCACCAGGGAGGTCACTCTTCCAGCTGATGCCACGTACCCTGCGGCCTACTAGTCAGGAAGACCCAGGCTCCTTCCTACCTTCCTTCCTCAAGACCAATTACTGGAAAAGTCGAGTTCAGGGTCTTCCCACCTCAATACTTCCGTTCATGCCGTTCCCCGCACCTGCCGGGCCCTCCAAGCTTCTTTCCGCTTGTCTAAATCCCACCCTCGCTTTATCATCCAGCCCAAGCCCCACTTCTCGGCTTTTTAATCCCCCCTCCCTTTTCTAGCCAAGGAGCTGGCTCCACAGACTTCCGGCCTCTGTTCTCTTCTGTCCTGAAACTGCCTTTCAGCTGCCCATCTCTCCCTCTCTGACACAGACCCTTCTGAACAGCGGCCACCGGGGTCCTGCCCGCTCCTCACCGTGTCCAATAGCTTTGATCTCCACAGTCTTGGGAATCTTCTCCTCTCGGTTCCAGCTGGAGGCCTTGCGGCTCACCTGGGATTTGAAGAGCGTGTTGACCAGCGTTGACTTGCCCAGTCCGCTCTGACCTGCCACAAGACAGGAGGAGGGTGACACGGTGGGGAAGAGCCGTGTCCACCCCCGAGCCGGCCATCTCTCCCACGAGCCTACCGAATTCTCCGCCCCCAGTTTGTCACACACTGGGGACAAAGGGCTGAGTGGAGGGCAGGCGGGTGGAACAGTTCCCTGGCACCGGAGAGGGACTGGGGGCAATGCCAGTTGGAGTCCACATTCTTTCCTCCTTTCCAGAGCTCCAGGACCCCCGGGAAAGGGGAAACCCTCTGTATTTGTCTAGTGGAGCGTTTTGTCGTGTGTCTGCCCCACTTAAGTTTTTAGTCTTTAATAATCTAAATGTAACGGCAGAACTCCTTTGCCCTCTGATACTGCCTCAGTGCATACGCACTTCCACATCTGTTAGCAAAATTTGCCTTTGAATCCCACAGCCCTGTGAATCCCATGGCAGAGCTCTCTTTATCCCCGGCTAAAGTGCTCCTAGTGAGATTAACCCCCACCAAATAAAATGTCTGCAAGGTAGGGCGCCTGGGTGGCTCAGTCAGGTAAGCGTCCAACTTCAGCTCAGGTCATGATCTCACAGTTCGTGAGTTCGAGCCCTGCGTCGGGCTCTGTGCTGACAGCTCAGAGCCTGGAGCCTGCTTCGGATTCTGTGTCTCCGTCTCTCTCTGTCCCTCCTCCCCCACTCGCACTCTGTGTGTCTCTGTCTCAAAAATAAATTAACATTAAAAATTAAAATTTAAAAAAGTCACATGTTCTACTGACCGAGCCAGTCGGGTGCCCCATTTTGGCCTGTTTTACACACATAGTGCTATAGCAGATTTTATTCCAAGGAGGAGTTCTGCATCTCAAGGGCGTTTGAAAACCACTGGCCCAAGCCGTGCTCCTCAAACTTTTACATGCACAAGGATCACACAAGCAGGCCCTGCGACTACAGAATGACGTCGGCATCACCTGGACATCATAGGAAATGCAGGGTCCCAGGCCCCACCCCAGTCCTATGATCTGCACTTTGACAGGACCTCCAGATGAATCATGTGCACAAGAAAGTCAGAAGTGCTGGCCTGGGGGTGCCTCGGTGGCTCATCCGGTTAAATGTCCAACTCTTGATTTCAGCTCAGGTCATGATCTCAAGATTTGTGGGTTCAAGCCCTGCGTTGGGATCTGCACTGACAGCTCAGAACCTGCTTGGGATTCTCTCTCCCTCTCTTCCCCTCCCCCACGCACACTCATGCACATGCTCTCTTCCTCAAAACAAACACATACATTTTTTTAATTTAAAAAAGAAGTGCTGGTCTAGGACATTCCTGTGGTATACTGAAGAAAGGACCAGGCTGGGGGGCAAGAGCCTAAGGCTCCAGACCCAACTGTGCTGTTCCCCCAAACACCTTGGACTGGCCACATTTGCTCCCCTAGTTTGTTTTACCGACGACATGGTGCCAAGGGGGAGCTAATGAGACCAGGGGTAGCAAATGAGCTGCATTTCTCAATACAACTGCTCAATCAGTAGTAGCCACCTAGACCAATATGTTAGAAGGACTGCCCGTGGGTTCAGCTCACTCCTGAACGTGAGCCATGACCGATCAGCAATGTCTCTCCCCATAGCCGATGGAGAAGTAGCCCATGTGGCCTTCTTTCTCATTCCTGGTCTGGATGTTTCTGAGGTCTCTTGCTCACTAAGTACTCTTGAGTGCCAAGTGATACGCCAGAATTGGAGGTAGAGAGGTGAACAAGACATCCTTACCCTTAAGAAGCCATTTAGTGTGAGGAAGACCAAAACATAAGGAGGCAGTTACGGTACGTCTCAATAATTGCTATGAAAGAGATAGCCCCGGGGCATTAAACCAGCAAACTGGAGGGAATGTAATCCAGTTTTGCTGGAATGGGGAGGACTTTTAGGAAGAAGCAACAATGAAACTGAAACCTGCAGAGTAACTTTGAAAGACCTATGAGAAGCTAGAAGGGAGTTCTAAACAGAAGGAATGGCATAGTCAAAGGCTCAGAGGCAGGGAAGTCTTGCTCAGAGCACAGTGAATCCAGGAAAACATTCCTCACAAGCGAGGAGTAGAATGCCATGCCGGAAGTGGTAAGAGGTGAGTGGCGAGGTAGCACCAGGCCAGGCTAGGAGTTTAAGCCCTTAAATCTACTGAAGGGTTTTAAGTAGGCTGGGCGACCTAAGGAGTTTTGCAGGCTGGAAATATTATTCAGTCACTGGTGGATAATGGACTAAAGCAGAAGGCAGACAGAGGACCAGGGGGGTCAATGCCCCTCAAAGTGTGGCCCCTCAAAGTGTGGCCGAGGTCCATGAATCATTTGCTACCCATTCTTGAGATAAGAAATTTGCACCAGAAAGTACATTGACCATAACACTAAGCACACTGTTTAGTTCAGTTGATGGGGCATTTAAAAACTTTTTTTTAACATTTATTTTTGGGAGACAGGAAGAGACAGAGCATGAGCAGGAGAGGGTCAGAGAGAATCCGAAACAGGCTCCAGGCTCTGAGCTGTCAACACAGAGCCCCATGTGGGACTTGAACGCACGAACCATGAGATCACGACCTGAGTGGAAGTCAGACACTTAACTAACTTGGCCACCCAGGTGCCCCTCAGGAGATGGTTTTTTTTTTTTTATATATAGCAAGACTTGTCAGATGATTTAAACTCCAGCCAGCACCTTATCTTTGAGCAGCACTGGGTCAGGTGGCTGTGGCAATCCAGGTGAAGACCTAGCTCAGCTGAGAGTGGTCACAGTGGGGGTGGAAAGAGGTGGACAGACTTAAGGCAGATTTACAAGGTAAAACTGACAGGTCTTGATGACTGATTGCACTGGGGGAGAAAGGAGAAAGGAAGATGATGCCCAGGTCCCTGTTTCAGCAACTGAGTGACTGTCCTACTGATATCAGGCAAAAGTCCCTTCCTGCTCTTACATTCTGTGACCCAGTGACCCTACTTAGTGATCGATCAATGTCCTGGAAATTCCCTTTAAGCTTTAAAGCACGACAAAAGAGCAGAAATAAGACCACCATCGGGGTGCCCGAGTGGCTCAGTCAGTTGAGTGTCTGACTTTGGTTCAGGTCATGATCTCATGGTTCATGAGTTCGAGCCCTACATGGGGCTCGCTGCTGTCAGCATAGAGCCTGCTTTGGATCCTCTCTCCCTGTGCCTCCCCTGCTCATACTTGCTCTCTCTCACTCTCTCAAAATTAAACATTTTTTAAAAAAAGAATAAGACCTCCCTCTCTCTGACACCAGTGAGAAAGGACACTGACGATTTCCCCACACCACACGCCTGAAAACACGCTGAGCATGCGTAAGAGGCTGCCTGTGTCCGCCCACTCATAATGGGGCCCGGCCGACAATACCCCGAAGTTCCCACCCCTGGATCAGTTAGTCTTGAGGCGAGAAGAGGGTGAGGCTTCTGTGACCAGCATAGTGAAATCTTTCCTCCCAGAAAGAGCTCATCCTAGGGAAGCCGGGCAGAGGCCAATCCTTGGGAAAGACACAGGACCCTCAGTGCTGCCCGCCACCATGGCCTCCAGTGACCCACGGCCTTTCATACCGACCACCATGATGTTGAAGTCGAAGCCAGTCTTCATGGTCTTCTTGCGCATCTGCTCGATGATGGTGTCGATGCCGATGTAGCCCAGCAGGTTTGAGTTGATGCTAACGGGCTTCATGGGCACTGCCGGCTTAGGCCTGGGCTCAGGCACCAGCTCTGACATGGCTGCGTCCGTCCTGGCCTCTGGGAGCCCTGCAAAGCCAAGGTGGGAGAGGTGGGCCGGAGGAAAACAGAAGCTGCACAGAAGCTACAGTAGTAGTCTCTTGATACAGAATTACAAAGCGTTGGGACTGGAAGGGAGCTCATGTGTCATCCACCATGGGCCCCTCATTTCCCGGAGAGACCTAGGCTGAGGGAGAAAGGCCTTCCCTCAGACACAGAGCAAGTCAGGTACCAGACTGGGATCAGTGCCCAGCCTCTCCAGCTGCTGGGGCACTTCCTTGTGCCCTCACTGCTCCAAAGCATGTCTGTCTACTCCCAGGGCTTCTCTACCTTGGCCCTGTTGACATTTGTGGCTGGATAATTATTGCAGAGGGCTGTCCTGGGCACTGTAGGATGTTTGGTGGCATCCCTGACCTCAGTTGTGACAACCAAAAATATCTCTGGACAGTGCCACATGTCCCCTGGGGGTAGCACAACCCTCGTGGTGAACCACCGATCTAAAAGATATTTGGGGTTCTTCTGACCTGACTCTTGCCTCCTCAGATAAAGTGTTAAGACCTTTTAGGATACTGAACCTAACATGTATTAACTGTCTGTCACTGACCTCAGGTGCTTTGTCTTTTAGAAGCAAATAGGGTTACCCCTTCCCACCGCAGGAGCACCACCCCTGCCCCCAGCCTCCGTGTCCCCTCTGTTCCATGAGCACCACTGCAAAGTAGGGGCGTCTGTGCCCTGCGGGGTCCCAGACACCACCCTAGCCATAGTTTTAAATCTGTGGAAGGAATAAGTCTCCCCTTTCAACCAGTGGGAAGAGTAGGAGACGCAGCCAGGTTGGAGCGGTCACTTGCCTAATATGACGCAGTGTGTTCATGGGACGGTGGGTAGCAAAAAAAAGGGGAAGCTGAGAACACAGCCCTTCTCTAGGGGAGAAAGACCAACATCCCTCTGAGGCTGGCAGATCACAGGTACGTTCACACGTAAGAGAAATCTGTGCATTTCCTCGTGGGACCAATGCCTACCAGGGTAGGTAGGTTCCATATAGTATAGAGCAACTCCGTTTTCCCATCCATAAAATGGGGGTGTGTGGTGCGGTGGAACGAGCCTGGAGCTCCTACTTGCCACGCGTGTGGACTTGGGCAAATCATGTCCCCCCTGTGAGCCTGCTTCCTCATCTAGAGACTGGACAGGATCATCATGAAGGCTGTGGTGAGCATCACAGGAGCCATGATGCCGAAGCCCCCCAGCACTGCACCTCTCACTCCCAGACTCCCTTGCCCCTGCCCGTTTCAAGTTCACGAGCTTGTGGGGAGGGCATGTGAAGCGGGGCCTGTGAAAGCAGTGCTAATTACACAGCATAGCTATTGGCCTCCACACTCCCTCAAGGACCTCTTCCGGCTTTGCCCTTCTGGAATCCTGTGCCTCCTGCAGTTCTCAGGCTCACAGGGAGAACCGATGGAGCAGCAGATGGGCAAGAGGGGGAGGGAGGGGACAGGAGTGCCTCCCTCCCCCACCCCCAGACTCAGCCAGGAGTCTGTTCTTGTACCCCCGCCACCTGGCCCTTCCACCAGCCCTGGCAAGACTCTCTCTCCCAATGGGAAACTGTTCTTTCCTTGTCACTCCCAGGCACGGCCAAATCTGACAAAAGCCTGGGGACCTCCCCAGGGCCTGGCGTGGCTCCCTCCTACTTCCTAGGAAGCTGTTGCCAGCCAGGCGGCTCCAGGCAGCAGCAAGATGGGTTCAGCCCTGCAGCAGCTGACTCTCACAGCCTGGCCTGCGCCTCCCTGGCTGCACGTGGCTCCCAGACCCCACGGGGCACACCTGCACTGGAGGCCATGCCCCATTTTCCCTGCCCAGCTGCTCCCACGGCTGGCCCAGACCACTCCCCTCCTGCCTCTACAGCTAAGCCCCTGTGCTCTCACAACCTGTGTTGTGACATAGATCCATCCGTGGGCAGCTGGGGGTGGGGGTGGGTCTTACCCTATTCTACAGACTTGCAAAGCGAGTCTTGTATTTCTTCATGGGAGATTTTGTTAGTATCCTTATAAAGTGCGGTGCATGCCCTTAACTAGGGCCTGCTCGGCTCTGGTCCATCCATGGTAGCGTCCTTAAAGAGCATTCCCAAAATGCTCCCCCTGGTTGCAAGAAGGGGCCGCCCAGCAGATTTCCAGGCAACTTCTAGGACCAGCGAGCACCTCCTAGCCCCCATGCGCACACCGTACGGAGCACCCAATGGCAAGTTAGCTCTCCCAACCACATGCCAGTTACATGCCAGCCACACGCTAACGACAGCCCATCGGCCACAAGTACTGCAAACGGGCGGCGGGTCACTCTGTCACGACCTTTGCTGGACGACCCGTGCCCACCCCAGCCCGTGGCTGACTCCTCCTCCTTCTTCACCATCCCACTCGATGGCTACCTCTAGGAAACCTCTGCTCTCCCACCTGAGACGGGTGCCCCCGTTCTGTGCTTCCTCAGCCCCCTGAATACCTTGTACTCCTCACATTGTTCTCCCCCTCCATCCCTTCCAGGACATTCATATGCTGCCAAACGGGAGCCCACTCCAGCCAACCCTAGACTTAATACCAAAGAGGCTTCTGGATCCCCACGAAGGGCCTTGCCCCTGAGGGTCCACCGTCTGCTGAGGGGACCTGACAACTTTCAGGGAACAGGAAAGCACTGCTCTGGAGTTGAATTCTATAGCTCCGTCCTCTGCGTGGACAGGTCCCTTGGTCCTTCCATACCAACCCCAGATGGGCAGCTGACCTAGGCTTGACTCCCACCTGGATGACCCCTGTGAGCCTCAGTTTTCTCCTCAGGAAAATGGCCACAGTACCTACCTTGCTGGGTTGCTGTGAGCGTTATACAAAAGCATGGACATAAATTACCTGGCACTGAATACAGGCTAGTTCCCACCCTTCTTCAGGGAAGAGGCCATGTCCCTTTGATCTCTGTGCTCCATTGAAACTAGCATAACACAGGCACTCAGCAGTGAATGAATGAATGAATGAATGAGTGAATGAGTGAATGCTTCACAGGGAGGCACATGTCATTTCAGAACCATCACCTTTCTTCTCCCTCACATGCTGTTCCCTTTGCAGAGCAGCTGACCCCCACCCAGCAAATGGCTCCTGGGTCGCCACAGTCAAAGGGGTAGACTCGGCTAAGAGAGGTCCTCTCCCTCCCCTGCAACAAGGATGGGAAGAGCTCAGGGTGAAGGTGTCAGGATGTAGTTCAAGTGCCATCCTGCCTAGATGGTCCCTGGGGTCCTCCTAAGCTCCCAGCTCTCCAGAGGAGTCAGCACCTGCCCCCACCCCACGCCCCCGCCCCAGCCAGGAGCCACCTGCCCCATCAATGCTCTAGCGAGAGGTGTAGTCCACCTGACTCAGCTTTGAGTCCCCCACAGAAACAGCACCCTCCTCTCCAATGCCAAGCAAGGACCCTGGTGCTTTTTTTTACAGACAAACGAATGGCTTTGTCTTTGTCTGGCCCAGGGACCCCACCCCTCTGTAGGGAAGGTGGCAACAGCGGGAGGGAATCTTTCCAGAATAGTACCTGCCTGTTTGGGGGTGGGGGGTGTTGAAGGGTCCCTCCCTCCCTTCCCGAACTGGAATCTCCCCCTGCTCCCAGCCCTGGCAGCCTTCAAGACCCCACCCACACGGGCAGAGGCAATTCCAGACCACCCCAGCTCCAGCCCCGCTCTCAGAAAACGAATCACAGGAGATATCTTAGTCCTTTCCCATTCACAGTTGCAAAGGGCCCTGGGACACCCCCTTCCCCCATCCCAGGGAGGCCAGTGAGTTCCCTTGGAGACCACCAGCTGCCTCAGTCCCTGCGCCTGTCTCAGTGTGCGCCTGTGTGTGGGGGAAGGGTCTATGTGTCAGCGTACAGGTCTCTTAGCCGGCTGTAGGTGGCCCTGATAACCTGTGTGCCGTGTGCATGTGTGTGCGTGTCGCGGTGTGCTCCGGCGTGGGGCTTGTGCCTCTGGGTCCCTGCTTGTGCGTCCGTGGGTCTCTCTCTCTCCCCGCGATCCCCTGGGTGCATTTCTCCGGCACGTATATCTTGGGGTGTGTGCCACCGTGTGTGCATATGTCACCGTGCGTGGGCTCCCGGCGCATCCACCCTCCCTCTGGCAGCACCTCCGGCCGGGCTTTCCGGGGCCGCAGCCTCGTCCCAGCGGGCGCCGGTGGCCCGGCCGGCCGCCCTACCTTTGGACATGAATCCTCCTTTGTCTCCGTTCCTCCCGGGAGATGCTCAGGGCGCGGGGCTGCAAGGCTGAGCGGGGCGCGGGCTCCTCCTGGGCAGGGCGGCCCCCGCAGCCGGGCCTCGCCCCTCCGCGCTCTCCGCCCACCCGCCCGGCCCGCTGCCCGGCCGCGCCGTCCCTGCGCCCCGCGCCGCCGCGCCCGCCCCGGACCTCGCTTCGGCTCGCTCGGCGCCGCGCTGCCCCTGCCCGCGCACACAGATGCCGCCGCCGCCGCCGCCGCCGCCGCTGCCACCCGCACCACGTGACCCGCGCGCCTGCCGGCCCCGCCGAGGGCCCCTCCCCCTCCCGCCGAGCCCGCGCCCGCACCCGCTCCCAGCCAGCCCGCACGCGGGAGCGGGTCCCGGGTTCCCGCTGCGGGCGGCGCGGGGGCGGGGGCGGGGGCGGGGGGGAGGGGAGGATGGCGCGCGGGGCGCTGCGCCTGCACCTCGGGATGCCTGGCTCCGGGAAGTGCCCGCATCCCGGTCCCGATCCCCGCCCCATCCCGCTGCCGGCCCCTTACCCGCCAGGCTGGGGCGGGGCGGGGGCGCCGGGGACCGGTGGCAGCAGCGAGCCGCGACGCGCGCGCGCGAGTCACGCGGTTAGTGGGGATGTTGTGCGGGCTCAGCGCGCTTCTGCCCAGGCGCGGGCGCCTGCGGAGCCCTGAGTCAGGGGCCCGGGTTCCAGGCCCGGCTTGGGGACGGTGAGCCCTATGACCTTGAGCTGCTTAGGAACTTTCCTGAGCCTCCATTTATCCATCAGAACAAATTTTCATGCATTCAGTCACCATTAATGGACAGAGCATTGCCAGGCCCTGGGGGGCACAGGGATGAAGATGACCATTCTAGTTCTAGCGGGGGTGACAGGAAAGCTGGACTGTCCTAATGGAGGGGGCAGGGGCACACATAGGGTACTCTGGTGGGCATCCCGGGGAGAGAGGGATTTTGGAAGAGTTCATGGGGAAGCTGGGGGCCAAGACAGAAGGGCAGATGGTGGTGGGAGGGAAGGGAAGGGCATTCTGTGGATAGGGGCAGCAGAGGTGACCAGACACAGAGGCGTGAGCAGCATGGTGCCAGTGGACAACACCACTCCTGATGCAGCCAAAGCAGAGAAAATTCCAGATACAAATATAGAGCTAGAGGCTGGAGAAGTCCGAAGCCTTGGAAGCCAGGCTAAGGAGCTGGACTTTTGAGGGAAGCCAGTGAAAGTGCTGCCATCAAATATGTGAGTCCCTGTGGCAGTTGCATGGAGGACTGAGAGCCCTGGGGGAGTTGGGGGGGGGGGCGGAGCTGTGGCATCACAGGGTCAGAGAGAGGGTTGGAGAGGAGGGAGTAAGCAGCCAAGTACTGAGGACATAGATCAACAGACTTGGAAGTAGACTGGTGGGGTGAAGGAGAGGAAGAAACCCAGGTTTCTGGTGTGGCCGTGCCTGTAGCTGAGAGAGCGAAATCAGGGAGTGGAGATTGTTCAGGAAGAAAGGGGTTGTCAGGGTTGAGGGGCCCAGCAGGCTGCATTTCAGGAGAGCTGAGGTTGCAGAAGGAGTGAAGACCAGAGCCTGGGGGAACTCCCCCAGACTGAGAGTATGGGGTAAGATAAGGAGGGTCTGACTTCCCAGGGGCCCAGTTAAGGCATGGGATGGATGGGCTGCTTTCCAAGCTCCAGAATCTGAGCCCGTGCAATGTTGGGAATGTTGGGACAGAGCAAAGAAGAATTCCAGGATCTGGGACCCCACTAGCTCACTGCCACCACCCACCCGCATGACTTCAGGCATGTCACATCCTCTCTGAGACCAAATGAACCTCTAGCCCTTGTGTTGGCCTGCTTAAAGCTCTACGCAGGACTTCCATACATACAAGTCTCCAACTTCCTTTATGGACTAAATGGCTAGGGGTAGGGGATCAAGGAAGAGCATGCCAGGTGAGGCACCTTTCAAGCAACAGATAGCTTCCGAAAAGGCTGAATGTGCACGAGTTAGAAGGTCTCAGGTGAAGTCACTACTCACATCTAGAGGAGCACTGTAGAGATGGCTGTTGGACAAATCACCACTTATCTACAAGCCGGTACCTGTATTTTCATGCAAGCGGTTTGCTTTTAAAGCTGGACTCACCTGTAGATGCCCTGATTACTCCAGCTCTTCAGGGAACAAAGAAACAACCATGGAAGATACTAAGAGAAGGAATCCGCATAATTGCTCCTCCACAAGTTACCCCTGTAAACTTTCCTTCTGGTGACTTTGCTCCACCTCACCTCTGATTGGCAGGTTGGGACCCAGCTCAGGGTGCACCCCCTGTGTTCTGCCCACCGGTCTCATTCCCCTTGCCCCCAGCACATTCACCTCTGACCTTATGGTCCCACCTCCCTTTCCTGACCTGTCCATCTCTAGGCCAATACATCCTGGCCCCCTACAGCAGCCCACCACATCCCCAGCCAAGCTCTTCGCATTTACCTTCGGTTTCTCTGGCTAGGTCCCGCACGATGGGCTCTGCGGTCCCGTCTGTCACAGCATCCGCAGTAGCATGGTCCAGAGCTGGCTCTGTGCTTGGCATCAGTGGGTAGGTGGCTGATGTGGTCAGGCTAATGACTCTGTCCAGTGTGGTCTCCCCCATGGCTGTGCCCAGCTTGCTTGTGTCCAAAGGAAAAGCATCCGTAGTTATGTCTAGCTTGGCTGTATTTGCTCTAGCCAAGGCCATGGCTGCATCTGTCCTGGCGGTGCCCAGCTTGACTGTGCCTGGTGCCACCAATTCCATAGCTGTACCCCTTGTGGTTATAGCTGATGGGGCTGTGCCCGCTGTAGCTATGGCTTTGCCCAGTTTCTCTGGGTCTGGAGTTACAAAATCCATGACCATGGCCAAGTTGCTTGTGCCTTCTGTACCAAAGTCCATGGCTGTGCCCGGCTTGGTGTCCAGAGCAGGGGATTCTGTGCCTGTATCCAGTGCGGGTATGCGTGACGTGGCCGGATTGATAGTCAGGTTAGGTCTGTTGGTGGCCATTGTGGCTACATGTCTGGCTGTGCCTGGCCTGGTTGTGTCCAGAGGAGCCAAATCCATGGCTGTCGCAGGAGTTGTGGTGGAGGCGGCCCTTTGGAGATGCAGCCGGGGTCTCGGGATACCCCTGAACCGGGGCTTGCCTCTTCCTGGAGAAGTTCTGGCAGTCATGTGGGCAGTCGCTGGGACAGGGTGTTTCTGACCTATTGAGCCTGGCCCTGCAGGGCCTGGTGTTTTCTGGACTAACCGGGATTGAAATGGCAGGGCCAGGTAGGAGCTCACCAGAGGCTTCTCCACTGTGGGCATCCTGCTGGGTTTGGCCAATCCTGGGTTCCCTGGGCCCTCAGAGTGGACTCTGCCCACTGGCACTAGGGAAATAGATCGTGAGCCTGGGGGGGGCAGCCTCCCTCCTCCGTGGGTGGCAGCCTCCCTGCCCGAGGTGGGCAGCTCTCCCCAGTGAGAAGACGGGGGGCGCACCGGCCATGCCTGGCTGTTCTGACGGAGTGTTAAGGAGATGGAGCTGAGCTTCCGGGGCGTGGTCTCCAGCGGGGGCACACTCTGGGCCCTGGCCCCAAGGCTGGGTCGGTTGGGAGCCTGTGGGATGTGGCTTTGAGGGAAGGCATCCAGACGGATGGTTTTCCTGAGGACAGGGATGAGGGGTGACACCCCTCCAGGGAGCTTTGAGGAGCGGGCAGGGCGCCCCAGCAGGTGGCTGCGGGAGACAGAGGTTCCAGGGCTGGGGGCTCCATGCTGCTGCAGCTCAAAGTTGTGATCCATCCAGGTCTCCCCCTGAGCCAATCAACAGAGAGAAGAGGCCAAGCAGGGGTGAGGTGCTCAGCGTGCATGGCTTTGATTCCTAGTTAATAGAGAGCACAAAAGCTTCTTTGCTAAGTAGCAAATTAATTTTCAGTTGTCGGTGTTTGCCAGGGTCTTATGAAACAAGACACTATTTTAAAATGTAAAATATTTAAGTTATGGGAAAGGTTATAGAGTAATTGTTAAAACACGATTATCATTTTAATATTATACAGCCACTAAGGTATAAAATCGTTTTAAAAATCATTCACTTTATAATGGAAAAAAAATTGGCAAATAGATATGTATGTATATAAAGCTTAATTCTAAATATAATTTTTAACAGAAATATATTACAAGAAATATATTTATAAGAAAACTTGTGGGGCACCTGGGTGGCTCAGTAGATCAAGCGTCCGACTTCAGCTCAGGTCGCAATCTCACGGTTTGTGAGTTCGAGCCCCGCATCGGGCTCTGTGCTCACAGCTCAGACCCTGGAGCCTGCTTCAGATTCTGTATTTCCATCTCTCTGCCCCTTCCCTTGCTCATGCTCTGTCTCTCAAAAGTAAACATTTTAAAAAAAGAAAACTTGTAATATATCAAGGTATAAAATTATGGGATCCTCAGTGGCTTGGGTTTTATATTAGTTATCAAAAACACAAATATCTAAAGGTTAAAAAAAATTACTCCCAGTCTCGGGGCCTTGGTCCGAAGGGGCCTTGTTCAGGGGCCCTGAAAGAGGGCAGTGGTTATTGGGAGCCTGTCTACCTGTCTTTTTTAGCAGGGGCCAGAATGCTCTGGGTTCCCTCCCATGACAGCCAAAATAGGAGTCCAGGCATCCAGGTGGGAGGCGGAGGGATGACCCATTTGGCCTGGGGACTGGGTCTGCCTCTGGGGGGCTTCCGTCCAGAGCCAGGAAAGAGCCCCTGGCTGCTGGATCCTGAATTAGCCAGAGCTGCAGAGGAACATGGGGAAGGTGCAGCTGGGGAGGTGCAGTAGCAAGTGCCCTCAGGAGGAGGCTTGTCCAGTGAACAAGCCGCAGCCCCTGCCCCTGGGGAACCTACCATCCCCAGTGGTACCAGGCTGTGGAGCAGGCAGGACTAAGCTGGAGGTGAGCGATGGGTGAAGTATTAGCTCAGTGATGGGCCTCAGAGGAGGCAGGTTGGACCAGGGGCTGGGGTAGTTCACACCAAAGACCCCGAGGTGAGGGTGTGGCATCCTCCTGAAAATCCACTGCGGGTCTCCTTGGCTGTAAGGGGTGGGACGCTGCGGGGGGATAGAAGGCCACAGGTGCAGTGAAGACCAAGCCAGGCCAACAGCGATGCTCAGCCCTGGATGATGACCTTGTCAGATCTGCTGGCGGGAACAGTATGACAGAGGGATCAGAGGGGACCAGAAGTGGAGGCAAGAAGAATGGCAGGGACACCGTTGAAACTCTGTGTGTGGGGGCGGGGCTGGAGAAAGCTTCCCAGCACAGGGATGGAAGCGACAAACCACCTGGAGGTGGGGAGAGGTGGAGGTCAAGGCTCTGCAGGTAGTCTGTGTGGATGAGCCACTCCCCCAGGTGGGCTCCAAGGCCCCCAGATGGCCAGCTGGTGCATACTCTGGGCTCCATCCAACTTATCCGTTGGGACAAAGTTGTTTCTGTTGCTTTCTTTTTTTTTTTTTTATGTTTTATATATTTTTGAGAGCAAGAGAGACAGAGCGTGAACTGGGGAAGGGCAGAGAAAGAGGGAGACACAGACTCCAAAACAGGCTCCAGGCTCTGAGCTGTCAGCACAGACCTGACGCAGGGCTTGAACTCACAGACCGCGAGATCATGACCTGAGCCGAAGCTTAAGAGACACCCAGGCGCCCTTCTATTGCTTTCAGCACAGCAGGAGGGGGGCTAGCAGGAGGGGTTCTCAGGAGATGGCCCGGACCCTAACACCAGGTCCCTAAGGTCTGGAGCAAGGGGTCTCTCATCCCTCACAGTGACGTCCCCCCAGCCCCTCTCCAGCCACATATTTGTACCCAAGACTGTGCCAGCCTCCATCACCCCCACTGAGCACGTCCCTCAGGCCTGCTCTCCTGCCCTTTTCCACAACCACACGTACCTGGACACGAGCACATTCACCCTGCACTTAACCCCAAACATCTACCCTCTGTGTGCACGCCCACGCAGAGAGAGCAGAGGCCTGTGGATCGGATTTCTGGGGCCCATTTGTTCCAACGTCACCGGATCCCCACCCCTCACTGAGTCTACGCTCCTGCCATCTGTCCCTTGGTCCTATCCCACCCACTCCCCCAAACACACACACGCACATAAATACCCACCTACCTTGATCAGAGGACAAGCAAAGCCCAGTGCTCCTCAGTCTGGGAAGCTGAGGCTGGAGAAGCCTCTCACCTCCCCTGCGCCCAGACTCTGGCCACTGTGACCAGCTCAGGGCCTTCTTCCCCCTCGTGAGCCTCCACTCAGCCCCCAGGTCATAGTCCCCAGGCCTAGGGTCCAGCCCTCTCCTGACCTGTCCCATCAGCTACATCCCCAGCTGGGTCGGGCTCTGGGGCAGGGAGGGGCTGGCTACGCAGCAGTGGGCGGCAGTGAATGGCCGCTCTGAGCCTCTGGAATCCCGAAGGGCCATGGGAGGCTCCTAATGACCAGGCTGGGCTGCCCTGGACTCAAGGCCTCCTGGGAGGGGGAGGGGGGGTGTCCCGCTGCCCGGCCTCCCCAAATCTCCCAAAGGCTACCTCCCACAGCCTCTGACTCCCGAGAGAAGTCTCTAGTAAGAACAAGGACACTCCAAATACAGCCACGCTCTAGTGGCCCTGGCACCATCCTTACTCCGGATTCCCCTCCGCGTTGCCGCCGCATCCTGTCCGGTTCTGTGACCCGCAAGCCATCTTGCCCACCCACCTGAGCTCTTTTCTGGGGCAAGCTGGAGTTCCTGGAAGCTAAAGCAGGGGCTGTCTGCTTTAACACCAGTCCCCAGAGCCCCTCCTCACTCCCACCGGACCCTGTACTGAAGATGTGCAGCCCTGGACCTGAGGAGACCTACCCTGTGGGCTGGGTGGCGCTCTCATCGGCCTCTATCCTCGCAAGAGTAATAGTAATGACAGTGCTAATAATAGCTGCTATTTACTGAACACTTACTATAGGCCAGCACTACCAGGACTGGGGAGGAGCTCACAGTCTGCTCGGGAAGATGGGGATGTAAACAGGTCCTTACGGTAACACAGCAGTGATGGTGGATGACATCTTTCCAGCGCTCACCCTGAGCCAGGAATTAGGCTAAGCGTTCTTCTGGCATCTCCTGTAATCTCCGCCTCGTCACCTGCTTTTTGCTGATGAGCACGCCACAGCCCACACAGCGCTGTGAGGTCAGGTCGATTTTCTTGTGTATTGCTCTCCTTAGTCAGTGAGCTTCTGGAGCCGTGCTGGCCAATAGAACATTCTACGATAATGGAAATGTTCTATATCTGCACTATCCAAAGCGGTAACCACTAGACACTGGTGGCTATTCAGCACTTAAAATGTGGCTACAGCGACCAAGGACCTGAATTGTTTAATTTATTTCAATTTTAATTTGTGTTGTCATATTGGACAGTTCTGAGGGGCCTGAATTCTCTTTTCTCTGGGTTCTAGGGGCTGGCAAGAGTCAGCCTCATAAGTTTCTATAGAATGCATGAATGAGTGAATGAATGAATGAGTGAGTGAATAAATGGTGAATATGAGGACCTTCGACCTTCCCCTGTTCATCCATCCTCTCTCTTCCAACCTTTGTTTTCAAATGTGGTTTTTCTCTGGTTACCAGGGCAACACCTGCTGAAGTCCAGTGGGTGGGGGAGGGGGGCGTCTGGAGTTCCTGCCTCGGCCCTTCCCCTTCCCCTTCTTGCTTCAAGGCCCGAGGACCCACCTTGAGGAAGAGCAGAGGTGTTTGGGGAGGGGGCAGCACAGTTCTGCCTGGACAGATTGGGCAGGGGGAGCCTTTACCGGTCACCCCCACTGGGTTACATTATCTCTGAGAGGAAGAAACCCTGAGAAGAAGTCAGGAGTCATTATACAGCTGCCATCACGTCCCTTGCCTTTCTGGGCCTCAGTTGCCTTTGCAAATAGGTCCCAGATGCCTTCATGTGATCTCTTCTAGCGTAAAGATCTAGATAGAATTCCTCCCTCGGGCTCCCTGCCAGGCTGTTAGGGCCTTGAGAGCCAGGAAGGAATCTGGTTCGTGTCTGTATCCCCCTCCTGCCCATTGGCCCTGCTCTATCCTCCAGGGTTGAGGGGGTCTGGAGGACACTGCCCGCCCAGTAATTACAAGCCTGGGTTCAGCTGCCCTCTAGTGGCCCAAGGAGGCAATGACCTCACATCTGTACCGCTGTTCTTTCCCACCAAAGGAAAAGATCTTCAAGCCCTGGCAGGAGCCTCCAAAGACAGACTTTCACCCAAGAAAAAAACCATTGTGGTGGCCTCCCAGACACATGGCCCGGGCTTTAGAGTCTCCAACTTGGGTTTGCTATAGCTGTGTGATTTTTGAACAGGTCACAAGCTCTCTGAGCTCTTCATCTGTAGAAATGGGGGGTATATCAGTCAGCATGGGTTAAAGTATACTGCAGTAACAAACAATTCCAAAATCCCAGTGGCTTATGACAACAAAGATTTGCTTGTTCATTTCTCATGTCCACACTGGTTTGGATCCATGGAGACTCTGCTCTGAGTCGTCTTGACTCTGGGACGCAGGCTGATGGAGCAGCACCATTTCTCCTCACTCTGTGTGGCCGGGGATGGGGGAGAGTGGAGAACTGTACACTCTCCATGAAATGCTTTGGCCTGAGGGCCCCTGCCTGGCTCAGTCTAGAGAGCATGCTACTCTTGATCTCAGGCTGTGAGTTCAAAACCCAAGCTGGGTGTAGAGATGACTTAAATAACTTTTTTTTAAGGAAGAAAAAGAAATGCTTTGTCCTGGACTCACTTCTGATCTCAAGTCATTGGCCAGAATTAGTCACATGGCTCCACCCACCACAGGGAGGGAGATAGGTTAACCCTACTGCACGTGAGAGTTGAAGAGCCAGAACAGGCTCTATTTGATGAACAGGACTGACTGATGACCCGCTTGCATGGTTGTGGGGATACAGTGAGAAGTGCAATGGATCCAATCCATGTTAGCCATTAAAATTGTTACCTTGTAAATCTGTTTTCCTTTTGTACTTACCCTTATGATTTCCCGTGACTTCCACATCAATTCCACCTGCTTACCGCTGCAGGGAAATGGACTTGCGGAGATTCACACAATGACCCAGTGGCTGGGCATCCAGCTCTCCAGGCTCCAAATCCGGAGCCCCTCCTACCATACGGGGCGGAGGAGAAGGGGCTTTGCCCACTGAAGGTTCTCTGTGAGTGTGTTGACTGACAGCATGATGGTCTTTTGAGGGAGCCTGAAGCCTCTGCCCTCCTCCCAAAGCTTGTCTCTGGCCTTTCCAAGCCCTTCCCTCCCCATCAGAGTGGAGAGCCGAGGGCGTGGAACAATGAGAAGCCTGTGCCACCCTCCAGGGCCGGAGTCCGAACATTGCAACCATTCCTATGCAGGGACCCTGCACATTCCTGCCTCTTGTCCTCTGTTCTGGGCCTGGCCCAGACACACCCACCATATCTTGATAGCTCCCAGATGGTGGGAAAGCAAAGCTCTCAAGACTCTGCGAAGTCCCCCAAAACATTTAAAAACCTGTACAACAGTTTGGTTTTTTTCCCCTGGCCCCCAGGAATTCTCTGAGCCACTCTAAAATCTTGGTGTCTAAGCAGATGGGTAGTCCCCTGGTAAGACTTCCAGACCAGCCCATTCATCCAAAACGCACGCTTTCATGGAGGCCCTGCCCACTGCTGGGCAAGCTGTGGGCGGAGGTGAGGAGGACCCCATTGTTGCTCTCTGCAAACATGTGAACAAAATCACAGCATAAGATTTGGGCTGTGATGGGGAAAGCTGCTTGTGGGGTCAGGGAAGTCTTCCTGGAGGAGGCAGCAATTGGAAAGTCATAGATTCTCTCCCTGGATCTAAGCCTTACTTGAAAAACCACCTTCTGCTCATTCAGTCTCCCCTCCCACCACTTACTCACTGATATTCTGTGTTTCAAATGCATGATACCACTCACAAGTGTGAGGATTTTTTAAAATATTTATTTACTTTTGAGAGACAGAATGCACATAAGCAGGGGGAGGGGCAGAGGGAGGGAGAGAGAGAATCCCAAGCAGGCTCCATGATTTTAGCAGAGAGCCCAATGCGGGGCTTGATCCCACAAACCTGTTAGATCATAACCTGAGCCAAAATCAAGAGTCGGAAGCTTAACCAACTGAGCCACCCAAGTGCCCACCACTCATAGTTTCCAGCGAGGACTAAGTTCTCTCGAGCCTCTATGGCTCTGTGCTAGCTGACTCCTTTTCCCCTTCGGGAAAACTCTTAGTCAGCCTTCGGAACCCGGCAGAGTAGTTACATCCTCCAGGAAGCTTTTCTTTTTTTTTTTTAATTTATCTTTGAGAGAGAGAGATAGAGACAGTGTGAGCAGGGGAGGGTCAGAGAGAGAGGGAGTCACAGAATCGGAAGACAGGCTCCAGGCTCTGAGCTAGCTGTCAGCACAGAGTCTGACGCGGGGCTCAAACCCACGAACCATGAGATCATGACCTGAGCCAAAGTCAGACGCTTAACTGACTGAGCCACCCAAGTGCCCCTCCAGGAAGCTGTTCTTGACAAGCCCCTTCCACGACAGCAGACACGTCTTCTGTTGTTCTCAGTTTCTCATACCTGCGTCTCTTACTACAACAACACTTTTGTAATGTGTTTACACATCTCTCCTCCTCTCCAGTTTGTGAGCTCTTCTGAGTCAGAGACTTCTTTGTCATTATGTTCTTGGTGCCAGGCCTAGTGCTGTGGTAGAGCAGGTATGTGGCGTGCCTCTGTAGGGTTCGGGGGGACAGCTGTATGATACACAGCATCAATACAGCGCTTCCTGCCCAACTACCTCCCTTAACATTTGCCACAACCCAGGGGGGCAGGCAGGGGAGGAGTGATCTGGAAACATCTGGCAAGTTATTTTTCTATGGAAAACCTGCCAGGAGCTGAGCACAATGCCAGGCACTGGCAGGGGACCATTTGTCTGGGCTCTAATCACCTGTGATTCCCGGAGCCTGGCACGCAGAAATGCTTGGTGAATTCACGTGTGTGTCCGAGAGCCAAGGAAGCTTGCCCAGGGACGTGCGATGTAAATGAACAGTTTTATAGGATTTACTATTGTCAGGTCCTGCCCTCAAGCTGCTCCCACTACAGGCCTCTGGCAGACCCTGGCAGAGGGAAAAATCTGGCTTCATGGGCACTGGCCTCTTTCTGTAGACTGCTATCTAGGTCAGCCCTCCCCCTTGTAAAAAAATGCTGAGGATGCAGTCCGTTGTGTTAACATCCCATATGAGACATTTCTTTTTAGTATCTAGAACCAAAAATTGGTCTCCCGTGAAGATTCAGTCTGTCCCTTCTGTCACATAATAAGAATAAAATGACCACTTTGTGTTTCTTCTTTCCCTCTGGCTGCCAGGAAGTTCAGAGATAATAGTATGACAGTAGGGGTCAGAGTCAGAACACTTCCTTCTCGCCCCCATGTACGTGTGGCTTCATTAACGGAAATTGTCTTCTGTTCTTTATGAGAAGAGCAGGTGTAAATAAACATTTATGTAAGAAGCCCTGGGACCTGGGAAAGGGCCCAGGTTTAAGAGCAGAAGACCGTCTCTGAGCCTCTGGCTCCGCCTGGCAGCCCTTGTACAAGGCAGACTCCCTATGAGAAGGACTGGCCACTGCCCAAGCCTCAGGGAGGTCACGGTCAACATCCTCCCTGCCGAGGTTATGAGTTTATTATAACCTTGAACACACTCACACCTCTGACCCAGTGTGTCCAGAGGCTTTATTCTTTGTTTTTTTAAGTCTTTTTTTTTCCCAAGTGAATTTATTTATTTTGAGAGAGACAGAGACAGTGCAAGCGGGGGAGGGACAGAGACAGAGGGAGGCAGAGAACCCCAAGCAGGCTCCGTGCTGCCAGCGCAGAGCCCGACGCAGGACTCGAACCCTTGAAAACACGAGATAATGGATTGAGCCAAAACCAAGAATTGGCTGCTTAACCAACTGAGCTTCGCAGGTGCCCCAGAAGTTTTATTTTCAAAGAGGAGTCAGAGAAAGATTTTTCACATGAAATCTCCTGACTTATAAATGATGCCAGTTTGGGTTTTTTTTTGTTTTTTTTTCCAAATGCTGTGTTGGGCAACGCAACAATCTGACTGTAGGCCAGGTCTAGCCTGAGGCCCGCCCA